GCCAGAAACTTGGTTTCATTTTTTCTGTTGCTTGTATGAGTAAATTTTCCGCATCTGTGTATGCCGAAGCTTGACATACGCTTTTAGCTGATATATTGTAAATGAAGTTATTTGATAGTTTGTTTGCGTAGTGCTGATATGGATATGTTTTATTCCACTCCAGGCGGACTTGACTATAATGTAAACCTATAGACATTGTGTTAATGAAACGAACAATTTAGAGGCTAAACTTTTTGATTTTTCGTCATTTATTTTTTTCAGAGTGTGTGGGGTTCATATTGGTTCAATGGTCAATGGGGCTATCGATGTTGTCACTCGCTCATAAAGGAATCATACTGTTTAGGAGAAAAAAGCAAAGAAACAAATTTCCCGGAAGTCCCAGATGGACCAACAGCTGTGGCGTTGCTAAAGCCACCACCTATGCCTACAGATGCCGACACTAACTCTGACAATAAAGTTAACCTGGACAATCATACAAATAAAAATGTTTTGAAGCACAAAAAGCGAAAACATGCCAAGAGCAAATCTGCTTCAAGTTGTTCTAGTTCAAGCTCATCCTCGAGTTCTAGTAGCGATTCTTCGGAAGAAATTTTGGATTGTGTAAACGAGAATGATCACCTTCGGGAAGCAGTTATGGAACAATCACGTTCTAGATTTGGATCGGATGAAGATATAGAGGAGCATCCTACAGATACGAAAACCATAGAAAATAGGAGTAAAGAACTAGCAAGATCTGAAGCGCGTCGTGAGCGTATTCGTATTCAGCGTGCTGATAAAAAGAAGAAACGGAAAGATCATCTCAAAAAGTCCTCTAAGAACAAGCACAAACGTAAGCGAAATCATAGTAGCTCAAGTTCCTCCGGAGAATCAGTGGAAGGTATAGAACAAGTACAAGAACGATTAATTCAAGAAGCAATAAGAAAAGAAAAAGAACGTTTGAAAGCAGTAGATGAATATCTTGCAATGGATGAGCGTAAACGACCATATAATTCACTTGCTGACGTTAAAGCCCCTACTGCAGAAGAGATGGAAGCTTATTATCGTACTAAAGTAAATCGCGATGATCCAATGTCACATTTTGTATGATCAACAATTGGATGTGTGTTGTACAGATTAATATCCATCACTTTTATTTGTAATATAAATTTACCTTATTTTAGTTTAATACAGAATTGTAATTTACAATTAATAGAAATCCATTAGTCTTGATAAGCTGTAGAGAACAAGTAACATGTCAGAAGATTAAAGAATGCTTACATTAATTGCTATGGTGTCAGTTAAGAAATTGTGAATAACGTACTCTTCACTTTTATAGGATTTTCTAACATTTTGTTTTAGGACTATTAGCTATGATCTTCAAGACAGTTTCCGTCCAAGTTGTCGTTTGTAGAATTACTTTTCAATAAGAGAACCTTGACGAAAAAGCTTTACCATTAGTCATTCATGTAACCTTGACATATTCTCCGATCCAAGTAACTCCACAAGACTGGTTAGATTTAGTCATGAGTACGAAAAATACCATTGATTTCTTTACCGAAGTTCTTCTAGTCTTTTTTTGACTATGTATATAGATATAATATCTACTCAAAACTCTTACGACGGCTAATCTCTTTTGTAAACATTGTTGCGTTTATCCGCTTATCGAACTTAGACATGAAACATATTCCTCATTAGTATTCGATTTGACATATTGATAAACGTTCAATCACTTAACATAGACCTCGTTCAGAAACTAACCTGTTTGCAATGTTCTACTATACGTTCCAAACAGTCAGCTACAACGTAGGATCAAGCACATATATGCATCGGTCCAAGTTGCCACACCTTATTAACACAACAAGATGAACACCAAACCCATAGAAATAGTTAACTCAATGGTAGTAATATATAAAAGAAAGGTTGTGTATAAAGATACAATACAGGGGGGAAGAATTAGTTGGTAGAAAGTTATTTTAATTTTACAGCTTAAGGGATCACAAAGAGTGTATACACCTAAGCCATGTTACTCAGTATCTAAACATTGATTATGATAGTCGTGCGGACCCCAACCAAGTAGTCTGCGTCTACCAATATGGCTAAGACCAGAAGCTAATGACTTCAAGGACCGATGCCACGTTTAGGTTTAGCCGCCCCTAACTTTCTTCCATCTATCTTCAACATTATTCAGCATTACGCGACGTAGTAGTCGGTGTTCAGACATACGCAACACGTGGCCCAACCATGCTGCCTTCCCACAAGGAGGGGTGGGGTTAAAAAAGGTCGACCCTAAAAGTGCACACCCCACCTTATCCCACGGGTTTCCGTTTCCGACGGTAAGGTCCCAACAAGTACGGAGCTAACACGAAAACTACTCACAAAAAGCTCGTGTGTGACCGGCCTTAGACAGTTGTCCCATGGGCACTGCGGTTACACCCTCAGGTCGCTAAGACCACCTCGAACCCAATTTCCTTTTCAGGTACCTTTAGAAGGACCCTTCCACAGCATAGGCAACCGGGAAGTGATAACCGCCCTCGTACCTCTAACAACAATCAAGATCACTGTATTCTTAATCAATACCCCTCTTCAATTCGGACTATTTCTCTTACCTCGACTATCAACACTAAACTTCCTCTTTCGGTTTCCTCCTCAAGTGTAACCATGGCCAACGATTCTAGTGCGCGAAACACTGTCCCAGGTCTACTAAAACCTCGCCCCAAACTACACATTGGAACCTTCAACGTACGTACCCAAAGTCAAATCGGTCAATAGGCCTCCTTGGCTAAGACCCTAGGATCTCGTACCATCGATGTATGCTGTGCCTCCGAAATACGCATACAGGATCCCAGTGTGGTTATTCACTTGACCTCACCTCGCCAAAATGGAGAGCCAACGAAATACATCCTCCGTGTATCTGGCGTCCCCATGACTAGTTCTCGTGGACTTGCAGGTGTAGGCATAGCACTTAGTACGAGGGCAGAACAAACACTATTAGAATGAATCCCTGTTAATAGTCGCCTATGTGCTGTCCGGCTGAATGGCTCCGTAAGAACTCGGAAGGACAGGGACACATATCGTTGCCTTTTCGTCGTTCCTGCCTACGCTCCCACTGGCTGCAGCCATGATGAATTGAAAGATGACTTTTACAGTAAGCTCTCCGAGCTTTTTCAGAAAGCTAAGCGCTCAGACATAGTAGTCGTAGCAGGTGACTTTAATGTCCAGGTTGGCAGCTTAAATCAAACAGAAAGACATTTAGGTGGGCATTTTAGTATTCCGGCTCAACGAACCGATAATGGTGATCGTTTGCTGCAACTGTGCTCAGACAATTGTTTATTTTTAGCAAGCACTAACTTTAAACATAAGGAGAGACATCGCCTAACATGGCGACCACCTGCACCAAACCAACAATGGACTCAAATAGACCATATTACCATCAGCCATCGTTGTAGAGGCTCCATGGAAGATTGTCGCTCATATTGGGATACTTGTTTAAACTCTGATCACGCTTTAATACGAGCACGCATTTGTCTGCGCCTCACTGGACGCAGGAAAACTACACTAAGAAGACCCATTAGGATTGAACTGGAGGACGAGAAATCCAAATGTAAATTCCAGGAACAACTGAGTTCACATCTAGGCAGTTCTGTAAACGAGACTGACCCAGATGCTGCTTGGAAAGACATACGAACAGCTGTGAAACGCATCTATTAGTAATTTAAACCATAGGGTTCCAAGTCTATTTCACTGATGGATTCGCGTAAATTCATCCCATCAGGCTCTGAACACGACGAAGAGCGTCAACAAATCAAATGTAGGTCAACCAAAAGTCTAAGGAACGACTGCAAGCAGTGGTGGGCAACGAAAGCAAAAGTGATTGAAAAGACAGCGGCTGTAGGCAACTGTTCAGACTAATAAAAGAAACTGGGATTTAGAAGTCAAGTGTAAGTGAAACGATCTCGGAAACAGAAAATACTCTTATCTGCTCTCAGCCCAGACGTTTAGAACGATGGGCAGAACACTTCAAGGAGCAGTTCAGCTACTGCACAACTACCCACTATTCCCAGACAGCCTGAATGAAACATTGAAGTAGGTCCCCCGACCCTACCTGAAGTTCAAAAGGCTATAGTTAATCTGAAACGAGGAAGAGCAGCTGGTTCACCACGACGCGCTATGCTGACTAGTGTAGGGGATAGTTGAAAAAGAGTTAGGGGCGGCCAAACCAAAACGTGGCATCAGTGCTTGAAGTCACTAACTTCTGGTCTTAGCAATGTTGGTAGGTGCAGACTACTTGGTTGGGGTTCGTGTGACTATCGTAACCAATGGTTGGAACCTCTGGGTGACATGGCTCAGAATCGATCACAATGGCATAGGTATATACACCCTTTGTCTTCCCTTAAACCTTAAGATTAAAATTGCTTCATAACGTTCTTCCTTCCTATACTATATCCCTATACACAACCTATCTTTTATATACTACCACCACTAAATTAACTATTTCTATGAATCCGGTGTTCATCTTGTTGTGCTAACGAGATATCGCAACTTGGACCGACGCATATGTTTGCCTGGTCCTATGTTGTAGCTGACTGACTTAATACCCTGTGATCGAATACTAGTAGCTTACGAGCATCTGCTATCATTAATGGCCACGTTTCGCAGTCGTAAAGTAGAGCAGAACGAGCAGTCGCGCAGTATACTCGTCCTTTAATAGATAGATGGATATCTCGCTTTCACCATAGGTGACGTAAGTTGGCAAATGCAAACCAAGCTCTTCGAATACGTGCAGAGAAAGCTCCAAACAACGTTAATCGACAAACTACACTTAGTCATTTTGTTAACGAACATACAACTTTTCCGTTTCACGCAAACACCAATTATAAAAGATCTTATGCATAATTTATTTATTTTGCTTCAAACAAAGACGTTCTTTAAGAATACAAACAAATGCGTAAAGTCGAAAATAATGCATCAGGTTTTATCTGTTCATATGATTATGTTCAAACAGAAAACTGAGTCAATATTAATCACGCATTAAGTTTGTCGCCTGGCAATATAAAAAAACAAAAACAACATTACATAAAAGGAACATGAAAAACATGACATTACGCATTGAAAGCATTACGATTGCAAACATACTTAAGTAGAATGATGGTTTCTAACAAAACCTCGAAATGTCTGTGACTGGACAAGAAATATCATTTCTAAGTTCATGGTTCTGTCGTTTTAGGGCATCAGCACATACTGCATGGTTGTAGTATAAAAAAATACATTCATTTCAGTCAGTAACCGAATAGTTACCTTGATTGATCGCATAAGCCAATCTGATATACACTATCACACCCTTCAAAACTATGTTTGATGCTTCAAGTTATTGACAGAACTCCTAACTCAACGATCCAACAGAGCTGAACTGACAAGGATGCTTATTTATTTAAATTTCGAAATAACTGGATACGACAAACGAATGACCCAGGTGTAACCTTATTCGAGGAAAATATTAAACCACTCAAAATCTGCCCTCCGAGTTCAAGGAAGAATTATGACACCTCATGATGAAAGCCCACATTTTTTCGGAAGTCACGAGACTGATGCCCCTTCTAACAACCAGAGCAACAATTAACATAAGTACATGGAATATTCGCACTATGTGGGAGACCGAAAGGACCAGTTAAATAGCTGCGAAAATGTGGATATACAACTTGACAGTACTCGGAACCAGCGAAACTCATCGGACCCAATCCGGACAGCAAAGGTTAGGTACGAAAAAGATGCTGTCTTACTCCTGTCACGAAGAGGAAAATGCTCCACACACTTAGGAAGTTGCTCTGGTGCTGTCCAAAGAAGCACGTAATGCACTTGTAGGATGGGAATCTCATGGATCCAGGATCATTAAAGCATCATTCAAAACAAAGGAGGGAATCACAATGAATGTTACCTAATGTTATGAACCCACCAATGATAGCATTGATGAAGATAAAGACCAGTTCTACGAGAGGCTGCAATCGATCATAGCGAAGTGCTCAAGAAAGCACCTGACAGTTCTGATGGGAGATCTAAACGCCTAAGTCGTAATGAACAACAGTTATGAAGATATCATGTGACGACAAGGATTGACTGGGAGAAAATAACGAGAACGGTGAGAGATTCGCAAATATATGTGCATTCAAGAAATTGGTTATAGAAAGCACAATATTTCCACACAAACGCATACACAAAGTTACATGGATCTCGCCGGACCACATCACGGAGAACCAGATAGATCATGTTTGTATCAAAAAAAATTCCGAAGGACAATGGAAGGTGTGAGAACAAGGAGAAGAGCTGACATAGCTTCATATCACCACCTGGTTGTGGCTAAGATGAAACTGAAGCTAAATAAACACTGGACAACTAGGGAAACGGTATAGCAAAGGTTCAATACAGCCTTCATTCGCGATACTAACAAACTCAACGAATTCAAGATAACTCTCAACAACGGATTCTAAGCTCTACAGGATCTACTGAAAGAAAAAACTACCATGGAGGACAACTGGCAAGGGATCAAAAAAGCAATACCTTCGACGTGTCAGGAGGTTTCGGGTCGCAAGAAACATCATCATATTGAATGAATCTCTATAGGAACTCTGAACAACTTTGAAGAAAGGAAAAACAAGGAAATAGCAATTAACAACAACTGAACACGAAAGTCAAGGCACAAGTAGACTACACAGAAGCAAACAAGCAAGCGAAGAAGAGGATTAAAGCCGACAGGCAGATATACATGTGAGAATCAGCAACGACGGCGGAAAAAGAAAGATCTCAGTAAACGTGAGAATTACAGAGGTATCACACTATTATCGGTACCAGCAAAAGTTTTCAACAGAGTATTGCTGAACCAGATGAAAGACACAGCAGACGTCCAAATTCGAGATCAACAAGCTGGATTCCGTAAAGATAGGTCGTGCAAAGACCAGATCGCGACACTACGGATCATAGTTGAACAATCAATTTAATGGAACCCATCACTGTACATTAACTTCCTTGTCTATGAGAAAGCATTTGACATTGTGGATAGAAGAACATTATGGAAACGTCTTCGACAATATGGTGTACCTGAAAACATCATCAACATCATCCGGAATTCATATGACGGACTACACTGAAAAGTGGTGAATGAAAGACAGCTGAGCGGTGAGGACCGGGGTCAGATAAGGCTTCTTACTCTACCCCTTTCTCTTGGTTGACTGGATTATGAAGACCTCCACACTTGAGGGGAAGTGCGGGATACAGAAGAAAGCTTGGATGCAACTAGACGATTTGGACTGCGCAGATGACCTAGCCCTTCTTCTATCCCATACACACCAAAAAATGCAGATGAAGACAACCATTATAGCAGCAGCCTCAACATACAAAAAAGGAAAACCAAGTTCCTCAGATATAACTCAGAGAGCACCAACTCAATCACACTTGATGGAGAAACTCTGGAAGAGGTGGAAACCTTCACTTATCTGAGTAGCATCATCGATGAGCGTGGAAGATTTGACGCAGACGTAAAGGCAAGGATTGGCAAAACAAGGGCGATATTCCTACAGTTGAAGAACGTATGTAACTCAAAACGACTGTCAACCAATATATAAATAACAATCTGCAATACGAACGTCAAGACAGTCCTACTGTACGGAGCTGAAGCTCCGAGAACTGCCATAACCATCATCAAAATGTACAAGTACTTATAAACAATTGTCTACGCAAGATACTTATTGTCTATTGGCTGGATACTATAACCAACAGCTTACTGTGAGAGAACAAACCAGATTCCAACGGAGGGGGAAATTAGGAAAAGACGCCGGAAGCGGAAATCATCAAACTGCATCACGAGGCAAGTGCTGACTTGGAATCCTGAAGTGAAACAAGAAAGACCGAAGAACACAATGCGAAGCAGACATGTAAAAGATGAATAGGAACTGAGAACTGTGAAGGATTGTCTAGGACAAGGTTTGATGGAGAATGCTGGTGAGCGGTCTATGCACCTCCGTAAAGGGTAACAGGCATAAGCAAGTCATCCTGACTGCAATTAGTCAAAGCGGTGTGTCCCTACCTTTCAGAGTTCTTACTGTTCAATTTAGTCAGACAGCACACAAACGACTGTCAATCAAAATCCAGTCCAGAATCGCAATTTACACTTAAGGACATAATGCTAGACCATACTTTTCAGTTCCTACAGAATAGAAAATCAACAAAATTCTTGCAAAGACATAAACTCAATCACTAGATCAAAGTTTGACTACATGAACTGCTATTATTGATTATTTTGCACGAACTAGGAATGTGACTTACGCACGACTTTGATTATTACAACAATGAAAGATCAATAGATAAAATATAATCATTTTATAACTATAATGCTAAAAATAGATCACAAAAAGAACAAACCTGAAATGGAGGGTTGTATTTCAGATATTTCATTAAACATAAATTCTTGCTGATATTCCTTGAGAAAAAGAGTGGAGCGAGCCTCATCCATAAACAAAGAATACACCTTTCGTATATCTTCTTTACTGACTTCTAAGCCCTGAGATAAAATAAGAAAAACATAATCAAGATAAAACTGGTCGTATTGAAAACCTAGTAATGTATCTTAATTAAAATTCGGTAGAAGAATTAAGTATCTTGACTCAAACAATCCATCGACAGAAGTTTGAAAATATAAGACTGGCTTAAACTACATATCCGATCTTTGAAACAATCAACCAACTACAACGTAGGATCAAGCACACATATGCATCGGTCCAAGTTGCCACACCTTATTAACACAACAAGATGAACACCAAACCCATAGAAATAGTTAACTCAATGGTAGTAATATATAAAAGAAAGGTTGTGTATAAAGATACAATACAGGGGGGAAGAATTAGTTGGTAGAAAGTTATTTTAATTTTACAGCTTAAGGGATCACAAAGAGTGTATACACCTAAGCCATGTTACTCAGTATCTAAACATTGATTATGATAGTCGTGCGGACCCCAACCAAGTAGTCTGCGTCTACCAATATGGCTGAGACCAGAAGTTAGTGACTTCAAGGACTGATGCCACGTTTAGGTTTAGCCGCCCCTAACCTTCTTCCATCTATCTTCAACATTATTCAGCATTACGCGACGTAGTAGTCGGTGTTCAGACATACGTAACACGTGGCCCAACCATCTCAGTTGAAGATTTACAACCTCGTCAATTGATTTACCATCATTTCTTAATACCCTGTAATCGAATACTAGTAGGTTACGAGTATCTACAATCATTAATGGCCACGTTTCGCAGTCGTAAAGTAGAGCAGAACGAGCAGTCGCGCAGTATACTCGTCCTTTAATAGATAGATGGATATCTCTCTTTCACCATAGGTGACGTAAGTTGGCAAATGCCAATCAAGCTCTTCGAATACGTACAGAGATTACGTGAGACACCAACCCATTAGGCTGATCAGACTTACAAGATAGGTGAAGTTGTCGACGCAGGCTAGTCCTGAAGAAACAATTTGCATTTAGAGGGCATTGTTACTCAGTGCTACCAAAAGACTCTGCATTTTATCAGTAACTTCACCAAACAGGACTATGTCATCTGCGTATTCTAAATCGCTTAGTGGAGCCCCTGGTAGGAGATCAATTCCTGAAAATTCAGTCGAAGAGAGTGTTATTTCTAGCAATAGGTCTATAATGAAGTTAAACAAAAATGGGGATAGTGGACAGCCTTGTCGGACACCACTTGAGGTTGCGAAATCAAATGACAGTTCGCCATAAGCTCTCACTCGACTAGTAGTGTTCGAGTAAAGAGTCTTCACAAGGTTTATTTACTTTTGAGGCATACCTTTCAGTGACAGACACTGCCACAGAACCTCTTGGTCTATAGAGTCAAATGCTGCTTTAAGTCAAGAAAAACTATCATTGTCGGACGCCGATAAACATGTCTGTGCTCTAAAACCTGACGAAAAGTGAACATGTGGTCGATGCAGCCACGACCAGGTCTGAAGCCAGCCTGATTTTCTCGTGTTTGCAGTTCACGAGTCTTAGTTAGGCGCCCGATAATTATTGAGGCTAGTATTTTAGATGCTATGTTAGTCAGACTAATCCCTCTATGGTTATCACAGGATGATTTGGACTCCTTATATATTGGGACAATCAGTGATTGTGACCAGTCGGATGGGATTTCGTCCAACTCCCAGATTTTATTCAGAATATTAGTCAACCTAGTCGCTAAAATTGGGCCACCATATTTAAAGACCTCTGGAGCCAATCCATCTGAACCAGCTGCTCTTCCTCGTTTCAGATTAACTATAGCCTTTTGAACTTCAGGTAGGGTCGGGGGACCTACTTCAATGTTTCATTCAGGCTGTCTGGGAATAGTGGGTAGTTGTGCAGTAGCTGAACTGCTCCTTGAAGTGTTCTGCCCATCGTTCTAAACGTCTGGGCTGAGAGCAGATAAGAGTATTTTCTGTTTCCGAGATCGTTTCACTTACACTTGACTTCTAAATCCCAGTTTCTTTTATTAGTCTGAACAGTTGCCTACAGCCGCTGTCTTTTCAATCACTTTTGCTTTCGTTGCCCACCACTGCTTGCAGTCGTTCCTTAGACTTTTGGTTGACCTACATTTGATTTGTTGACGCTCTTCGTCGTGTTCAGAGCCTGATGGGATGAATTTACGCGAATCCATCAGTGAAATAGACTTGGAACCCTATGGTTTAAATTACTAATAGATGCGTTTCACAGCTGTTCGTATGTCTTTCCAAGCAGCATCTGGGTCAGTCTCGTTTACAGAACTGCCTAGATGTGAACTCAGTTGTTCCTGGAATTTACATTTGGATTTCTCGTCCTCCAGTTCAATCCTAATGGGTCTTCTTAGTGTAGTTTTCCTGCGTCCAGTGAGGCGCAGACAAATGCGTGCTCGTATTAAAGCGTGATCAGAGTTTAAACAAGTATCCCAATATGAGCGACAATCTTCCATGGAGCCTCTACAACGATGGCTGATGGTAATATGGTCTATTTGAGTCCATTGTTGGTTTGGTGCAGGTGGTCGCCATGTTAGGCGATGTCTCTCCTTATGTTTAAAGTTAGTGCTTGCTAAAAATAAACAATTGTCTGAGCACAGTTGCAGCAAACGATCACCATTATCGGTTCGTTGAGCCGGAATACTAAAATGCCCACCTAAATGTCTTTCTGTTTGATTTAAGCTGCCAACCTGGACATTAAAGTCACCTGCTACGACTACTATGTCTGAGCGCTTAGCTTTCTGAAAAAGCTCGGAGAGCTTACTGTAAAAGTCATCTTTCAATTCATCATGGCTGCAGCCAGTGGGAGCGTAGGCAGGAACGACGAAAAGGCAACGATATGTGTCCCTGTCCTTCCGAGTTCTTACGGAGCCATTCAGCCGGACAGCACATAGGCGACTATTAACAGGGATTCATTCTAATAGTGTTTGTTCTGCCCTCGTACTAAGTGCTATGCCTACACCTGCAAGTCCACGAGAACTAGTCATGGGGACGCCAGATACACGGAGGATGTATTTCGTTGGCTCTCCATTTTGGCGAGGTGAGGTCAAGTGAATAACCACACTGGGATCCTGTATGCGTATTTCGGAGGCACAGCATACATCGATGGTACGAGATCCTAGGGTCTTAGCCAAGGAGGCCTATTGACCGATTTGACTTTGGGTACGTACGTTGAAGGTTCCAATGTGTAGTTTGGGGCGAGGTTTTAGTAGACCTGGGACAGTGTTTCGCGCACTAGAATCGTTGGCCATGGTTACACTTGAGGAGGAAACCGAAAGAGGAAGTTTAGTGTTGATAGTCGAGGTAAGAGAAATAGTCCGAATTGAAGAGGGGTATTGATTAAGAATACAGTGATCTTGATTGTTGTTAGAGGTACGAGGGCGGTTATCACTTCCCGGTTGCCTATGCTGTGGAAGGGTCCTTCTAAAGGTACCTGAAAAGGAAATTGGGTTCGAGGTGGTCTTAGCGACCTGAGGGTGTAACCGCAGTGCCCATGGGACAACTGTCTAAGGCCGGTCACACACGAGCTTTTTGTGAGTAGTTTTCGTGTTAGCTCCGTACTTGTTGGGACCTTACCGTCGGAAACGGAAACCCGTGGGATAAGGTGGGGTGTGCACTTTTAGGGTCGACCTTTTTTAACCCCACCCCTCCTTGTGGGAAGGCAGCATCGCTATTATGCTGGTTGTCTGAATCCCAACTGTAGCTGCTACCTTTACGAGGTGGTCGGGCTTGCCTATCGTGATGACCCAGCCGAGATATATTGACCGGAACGAATGTCCCTGCAGGTTCTACCATGCCAGGCAGGTCGATTAAAGAACGGTAACACTAAAAGCAGTAACTCAAGGTCTGAGGGCGAAGTCGTACTGCTGACTGTAGAGAAGTGTGACAGCAGTAAGGTGCTTCCTTCGAACAGCCAGCACCTGCAGCGATGCTGCCTTTTCACAAGTAAGGAAAGGGTTAGAAAAGGTCGACCCTGAAAATGTCACGCCTCGCCTTACCACACGGATTTTCGTCTTCGGTGGTAAGGCCCTTTGAAGAATGGAGCCAACACATCAAAAATCCCCCACAAAAAGGCTGTGAGTGACAGGCCTCAAGCAGTTGTTCCTTGGGCTCTGCGGTCACGTTCCCAGGTCGTTAAGACCAACATTAATCCAACTTCTTTTTCAGGTTCCTCAAGAAATACCCTTCCACGGACACCCGCAAAGTGACATCAGCCCTCATACTCGTAACAACACATGAGACCAAGTTGGTCATATTCAAATCCTTCCTACACCTCCTAATAACTCTCTTATCTCCACGACTAACCCTTCTCACGTCCCTTTATCACCTCGCACCGCTAGGACAAACGATTCAAGTACACAGAACGTTATTCCTGGTCTCCTGAAACCACGTTCTAAACAACATGTAGGAACTTTTAATGTCCGAACATTGTGTCAAATAGGACAACAGGCCTCCTTAGCTAGGACTTTAGAATCCCGCACCATCGATGTGTGCTGCGTCTCCGAAACGCGCATACAAGATCCGAGTAGCGTCATTCACTTGACCTCACCATATCAAAATAAAGAACCATCTCGATACACGCTTCGTGTATCTGGAAGCCCTGATACTGCTTCCCGTGGCCTCGCTGGAGTAAGTATAGCGTTAAGTTCTAGGGCAGAACTGGCTCTTTTAGACTGGATCCCAGTAGACAGTCGTCTATGTGCTGTCCGACTAAACGGAACAGTAAAGACTCGGAAAAATAGGGATACTCGTCGCTGCCTCTTGATCGTCCCTGCATACTCTCTCATTGACTGAAGCTCAGATGATGGAAAAGATGAGATTAACAGAAAGCTTTCCAACCTTCTCTGAAAACTTAGGCGCTCTGATATAGTAATAGTGGCTGATGACTTTAATGCTCAAGTAGGCAAACTGGGCGAAAGGGAAAGATACCCGGGTGGATCTTATGGTGTCGTGACACAAAGAACAAATAATGGCGACCGTCTGTTGCAGCTGTGCTCAGATAACCGCTTGTTTCTTGCAAATGCTAACTTTAAGCACAAAGAAAAATGTCTTTTGACATGGCGACCCCCAAATTCATTCCAACGTTGGACCCAATTAGACCACATCGCTATCAGCCACCGATGGAGGGGCTCGATAGAAGACTGTCGCTTATTCTGGAGCACATGTTTAGATTCAGATCATGCTTCAGTGCGAGCACGTATCTGTCTGCGTCTTACTGGTCGTAGGAAAGACAATGCAAGGAAACCTCTTAGGGTTCTACTTAATGATAAGCAAGCTAAGAATATATTTCAGGAACAACTAGAAAAACAGTTAGACAGCCATGTAGGTTATGCTTACTCCAATTCAGCGTGAAATGACATCCGAAAATCTGTGAAAACAGCAGTGATATCTGCTAGTAAAGTAAACCATAAGGTTAGGGAGAAACACTGGATCTCAGCGGCGTCTACCGCAGTGATAGATGCTCGAAAACTCATCCCATCTGGCTCTGAACATAACGAAGAGCGGAATCAACTTAAGCACAGGCTAACAAGAAGCCTATGCAATGATCGCGAACAGTGGTGGATAGTGAAAGCAAGAGAGATGGAAAAGACAGCGGCAATAAGCAACGGCAGACAACTGTTCAGACTAATGAAAGAAACTGGTACTAGGAACTCAACTGTCAGCGAAACTATCTCGGAAAAAGATGGACATATTATTCATTCTTAATCCAGGAGATTGGATTGATTGATAGAAAACCTTAACGATCAGTTCAACTGGCCTTCAGCCACACTTCGGCTTTCCATAATTCCCAGTCGACCTGAACAGCAAGTTAATGTAAGTCCCCCAACTCTTTACGATGTTGGAAAAGCTATAAGGAATCTGTAGTGAGAGAGGAACAGGCCCTGACAGGTTTACCCCTGAGATTTTTAAGGGTAGTGGTACAGTATTAGCAGTGAGATTGACTGAGGTCTTAGGTAGAATCTCGGAACTGGACGTAATTCCATCTGACTGGTCCCAATCACTGATTGTGCTAGTCTATAAGAAAGGACAAAAGTCCTCTTGTGACAATCACAGAGGGATCAGTTTGACTAATAGTGTCTAAAATATTAGCCTTTATAATACGTCGACGCCTAACCAAAGCCCGTGAAGAGCAGACCAGAGAAAGTCAGGCTAGTTTTCGACCTGAACGTGGTTGTATAGACCAGATATTCACTGTACGTCAAGTCCTAGAACATAGACACACATTCAGACGTCCCACAATCGTAGTATTTCTCGACCTTAAAGCGGCATTTCATTCCGTTGATCATGAGGTTCTGTGGCAGTGTTTGTCACTAAAAGGAGTACCAAAAAAGTACATTAACCTCATAAAGGCTCTCTACTCGAACACAACTGGTCGAGTTAGAGCCTATGGCGAACTGTCATCAGAATTGATTACCTCAAGTGTTGTTCATCAGGGCTGTCCACTTTCTCCATTCTTATTGAACTTTGTCGTTAACATGCTTTTAGAAATGACATTTTCATCATCTAAATCTCCTGGAGTTGAATTTTTACCGAGAGACTCACTTGTTGACTTAAAATACGCCGATGACATACTTCTATTTGGTGAAGACGCTGACAAAATGCAGAGTCGTCTGACCACTATAAGCAACAGTGTAAGCATGTTTGGGATGCGATTCTCTCCCTCGAAGTGCAAAATGTTACTTCAAGATTGGGTTGCACAGACACCCGAACTAATGATAGGGAGTGAAGTAGTTGAGAGTGTTGACCGCTTCATTTATTTTTGGAGTCTCATCAGCCCTTGTGGTCTGGTGTATGACAAAATCTCAGCACCGATACAGAAGGCTCGTCTAGCTTTCGCCAACTTGCATCATTTATGAAGTAGGTGAGACGGGTTTACTGCGCAGCAGTTCGTTCCGTCCTACTTTATGGCAGTGAAACATGGCCCATAAGAGTAGAGGATATTCGTAGGCTACTAGTTTTCGATCATAGGTGCCTTCGAAGCATTGCTCGTATATCCTGGGTCCACCGAGTAAGTAATGCAATTGTTAGAAAACGGGTACTAGTGAAAGATGGCAAATCGATTGATGAAGTAGTAAAACTTCATCAGTTGAGATGGCTGGGACACGTGTTCGTATGCCCAACCACCGACTGTCCCGACGTGCAATGTTTTATGGTGTAGGAGTAGGTTGGAAGAAGGCTAGAGGCGGCCAAACCAAAACGTGGCACAAATCCATGAAGTCACTGACAAGTGGACTGGGTCATGTTGATAGATGTAGACTAAATGGTTGAGATCCGCGAGATGATAGCAATCGATGGTTAGAGACCTTGAATGACATGGCTCAAAATCGTATGCAATGGGGAGGGTTCATCCACTCTTTGTGTTCTGCCAAATTCTTATCTTCTGAATTCTTCATGTCCCTATCCTTTTTCTCTTTCCAAATTTATTTCACTGGATTATACTCCTTGAATAGCATCTTCAAACCCTAATCTTTCCGATTACTGCTTATACTCTTACTACTTCTACCACTATGGGATTTGAATCGACAACTGCATCTCTGTGCTAATGTGGTATGGCAACTCGAACTGATGTACGCACGTACGAAGTTCTACGTTGTGACTGACTGACTAAAGGAAACACCTTAATACCGTCACACCTCTGTACAGTTGGCAGTACGACTTCACCTTCGGACCTTGGGTTTGTTGCTTTCGGTCTTACCGCTCTTCAACCGACCTGTCTGGCATAATAGGACTTTGAGGAACGATTGTTCCAGCCAGCATAGCTTGATTGATTCATTACAATAGGCAAGCCCGATCACCAACAGTCTTAATGACTTTTGACTTGACCAATAAACATCTTAGTACTTCATCGTTTATGCTGGTCAAGACAGTAGTGGTTCTTACTGCAATTGAGTTTGATGTCGAATTAAAGTGTGACGTACCATCTCAGTTGTTTATGACAGCTAATTTACACGACTTTTCACAAGAGCAAGTATAGCTTAAAGTAATACTATATCTATTTCCTTAGGATTGTGAAATATGGTTTTGAAGGTAAAGGAATTGGTTGAGTTGCTAATATAAGATCTTAAATGTCTTCAAAGCGTAGCTGGCGTATGGTGAAACCATGCGGTAAATGATGTTGGTCTTTGGGGCAGACTGCTAATTAGGAGGGGTAGATCATTTGTTCCGAACCTTCACTAATGTGCTCGTAACACATGTTTCATTCGAAGACACCACTAACTCCGGTGCATTATACTGGTTCTCATAGTAGATAAGAATATGGGTAGGGGCACCCAAACCAAGGCAAAATAGACGTACTAAGTTCTGGAATTTCGTTGGTTGCTGTACACAGAGATGTAGATATAACCTCCCAGCTCAAACAACGAAACTCCACAAGGTAACTATAGTCCATAGTTGAAGACTTCAGGTTCCATAACTAAAATACTGATACCAGTGGTTTACACATATGTCCATCTTTTTTATCACCCTCTGGGTGCTAGACGTAGTATCAATTGGTTGATTACGAAAGGTAGGCCCAACCACTACGTTAAGGTAGCAGCAACAGTCAGGCGAGTAGGAGAAACCTCAAACATAAATATTCCGTTGCAGGTAGTGGGACTGTAGGTTATCTCACTGTAATTTTCTGAACTTCAGCTTGGATTAATTAGGTAGAGTAATGGATAAAATGCCGCCATTTATGTGTACAGTTACCAGAAAATATGAAAACATTCTATATGAGAGGCTTTAGGCCCTAAATCATACGCCACTTTAAGTTATATGACTATACGCTCTAAGCAAATGACTAACATACATTACATTGGGAATACAAAAATTCATAAGGCACGTAACCGTAAGTGACGATTATTGGGAAAGGAAGTAAGCTTACCTTGCGTTTTCGACACACTAAATTTGCAGTGGTTATCAGTTGGATTGCATAACGTAAGGACGTCTGCATACCGATTCGGGTAAGAACGACCAGTGCGTCTTCCGAAATATCAACATCCTCTTCTTCGCAACGAATTTTCAAAATTGCTTGGATTTCTTTGTCTGTATACGAATCAGTTGAAATGATGAGGAGACGATCAAGAAGATCAATAGGTATTCCGTGTGGACTCTGATAATTAGTACCACGAATTCTTTACAATTTTAAAAGAAATGGCAATGAACAAGTTGATTCAATTTCTTATCAACGAGTTTTAGTCATTCATAAATAAATGATCAAAATGTATTACATAAAACACTAGAAAATGAAGGCAAGGGACAAATCAATCTACACATTCAAAGTGAATCAAAGACTGCCATGCCATTTGACAAAGTCAGATGTGTGAACGGATAAAATAGAACAAGATCGCGTTAAGTTAAATTATTAAGCTTTACAAGAACATAAACTGAGAAGTAAGTTATGGAAACTTAATAAATTTAATGATATAATAGGAGATTCAAATGGAACCTAGATGTCAGATACAAAGAACTGAGACTTAATATCCCGAATTTATTGGACGGTCCATGGGATTTCCAAAAGTTATGTAATATCTAAGTTTCAGTGGTGAATACTTTGTCCGATGCATTGTGTTTGATTTTACCAGGAGGAAAATAATTGTGATTGAATAGTCATTACGTCAGTTCTTGGTACAGACGAGAGTGGGGAGAGTTCGCTCTTCCTCTCCAAATGCTCACATGACCACGCATATACAACCACTGTCAGGGAAGTACTATTTAATGACTTCTCATGGCGAGGTGTTGTTTATAAAATTGAAAAGCGAATAATCGGAGCTTTAACCGGGTTGGTAAGTTCCACCTAGGGGAGTTGGAAAACCCTGATTCCAAACCAATGGTGCACACGGGCTCCAGTATCCTGAGGGAAAAAATGGAGTAAGAATCAATCGTCGGTCACCGGTTACCATGGGACCGCATCTTCTCACGATGCTCCACTGCCTTGTGGATCAGATCTTTAGGTCAAAGGCTCGAGGTATGGCCCCCTAAGAAAACCACCTGCTTCGGTCTAGGCAGCCGGGCAGTATCAGAGCCCTCATACAAATCAAATGAGATTTGTGCGGCGCATATATATCTGGTGCCCCTTTGTACCAATATTTATATGTTCAAATAAATAAAATCTAGTTACGGTTGTCGCATTATCTTAATTGCACACTATGGATTATCGTCAATTGCTTTCAATACTAAATGCAAGTGCATTTAGTGTGCTTACTCAGGCGTCGGTTCAGCATTTTGCTTTCTCTTCTGCCCAGCTTTCCTAGCTAATGCTCTATTAAGCACACAAGCAATCTTCAGGCTAGTTCGAAACCGTTACAGGTCTATCTTTGGTATCAAATTCTGTAAAAAAAAGTTATGACGCATAAAATAACAAGCTGAAACAAATATTTCTGTTTAGTTAGATCAGTCTTTGAAAATTCGGTCGTGAAAAGCAGTAGTTTGGAGGCTTTAAAACAATGGATACTTTTAGAGCTCAACTTAGATAACAATTATTTGTCCTTAGGTAGGTGCATGAATTATGTAGAGGTAAACTTGATCAAACCACAAGTGTACTTGGAAAGAAATTCTTGATTAATAGGGTCTGCCACTTTTGAGTAAACAGACCCAACAATTAATGACTGCTTTAAGTGGGCAGCCACCTAATATCACTGGTTCAAATAATAAATGTGGACTGAAACCAAAAACATACTTGTTCAAAAAGCCGATTTTATTTTGAGGATAAAGTGAAAAAGTGGTAATTGCAGTCGGTTTACAGTTTTATTCTGACAAGTTCCCAAAGTCATGTTGTGCATCAGAGCTAAATACATTCAGCAACTAGTATCTGATATACTTATTTAAATTTATACCTTAGTAATTTTTAACGGACCAAATTATTTGGGTGATCCGGGACAAAAAACGGTGAACAAAAGTCCCTATACTCCAGCTAACAATTTGGCCTAATCGGTGACATCCAATGGCCATCAAAAACTGGGACTACTTAGCCAGGTCCGAAAGGATTTATGATTTCGATCTGTGGGAAAATAAGTGCTCTTTCTTGAAAAAAGCAATGTTTGTCATTTTGTAGATCAGGATTTTTAAGTAGATCTTTTGTCTTAGAAAAAACACGCGGATGAGGTGTGGTTTCAGATGTTTAAAAAATATGGCTATTCAAAAATCATAGTATTAATCGTCGCAGCTAAGATAGTCAGGGACGTCAAACCACACTATCAGTCTAGTGATGTTTCTGACTGCTTCGGATACATGTTTCTTAATATCTCTTGTCAAATAATCGGGGAAAGTTAGTTAGTTATAAACAAAGTAAAACCTGGCACATGGATGCATCGGTTTGAGTTATGACAATCACAAGTGCTATACAAGGTCAGTAATAATGGATATAAATATAACGTAATTTACCTTGTGATACCTCTGTTTGTAGCCACAATTAACACAGGAGCCATATCAGATTCAAGGGCTCGATTAAGGAATGAGAAGCATTCAATATCCAACATGTGCACTTCGTCAATAAACAGGACCTTCAGGGGGGAAATAATAGATATGCTACTGAATAGAAAAATAAAAAGCGATTAACGCGACTAAACTGTGATACCCAAGTCGATTTAGGAAGATCCAGTTTTTGGACTGTAGGAAACAACCGTAATAGAAAAGTTTGAGTGATTTATTTAGTCGTAAGAGTTAACAACAGGTAAAAGACTTAATCACTGGTCGGTTGGGGTGAGACTATAATTTATGGATGATCTTTGAGTGACGTTAAAATGACCTTGCGTGTCCACACAATAACTAGGACCAAACGAGGGTTATGAACCCGTGAGGAACTGGAATTAGGCTTTACACTTGATGGTTTAGGTTAGGAAGAAGACTGAGGGTTTTAATCACGAACATACATAAGCTATAATGCTAAAACTCTATTTAACCAAATAGATGAGTGAATTCCGCGCAAAAATCTGAGACCTGTTATCTTATATCCGATTGGTTCGTCCATAAGTTATAGTTCCGCCTCAATCAAGTTTCAAACATCATATGCGAATTGTACATTATTCATTTAGAAAGCACTTGGGAATAGTCAAAACATTATTTGGAGAGATATAAGACTGTAGCTCTTAATTACTAGAAGTAGAAAACGTGACTTACACCAGGAACTATTTCTGCCTTGCCTTCTTCCCGCCATTCAGCTACTTTGTGGTTAATTTGATCCCTCACCTCCGACTTTATTTCACCGGTATCTCCACTAAAAAGGGCAAGGAAACCTTGAGTTCTGCTGTTAATTACGTCGATTTCATGTAATGTAACAGTATGAACGACTTCTTTTCGTTTTTGCAATTCACCTTCGGGACACTGAATAAACTTGGTTTGACCACCGGTAGCATCGTAGTCTCGAGCCCTAGTAAACGATCGACCTAGTCTTGTAATTTTTCCAGAGGGTTTATCAATAGTAATAACATCACTAAAAATCCAATATAATTAGTGAAAAATTACCCAGCCTGAACTTTTTCCTTTGTTAGGGAATCTATCATTTTTTGACCTAGATCGTAAACTGTTTCCATTTCGGTTGTCTTAAGAGTTAGTTTGCCTATCTTTGCACCTGTTCCAGTTGCTGGGCGATCTATTAAGACTTCCACAACTTCTCCTTCAATTATTTCGGCTTCCTCTCTGAGGAAATAATAAGAAAAAGATGACTTACTTGATTCGCACGCCAATTGACTTTCTGAACGCTTGAGTGAGAGCTTCTGTCTTGCTCATTTCTAATGAGAATATTTCACTACCAGCCATTGCAGTGAATGGTGTGTCATGACCAAGTGCCTGAGCCATACCCATAGCAATTGCAGTTTTGCCCGTGCCAGGTGGACCAGCAAGAAGTATGGCACGCCCAGCAATTTTACCCTCACGTATCATACCCAGTATAAGACCAGCTGCTCTTCTTGCCTTACATTGGCCAACCATACCCTGAGAGATCTGTCGGGCTTCAAGATCATCATTTAATCCCAGACCACGAATATGTGAGTGGGCTCCTATGCGTTCAATACGCGTAATTTCTCGAGCTGCCGCCTCTTGAACTGTTGCAGTTAGCTGAAAAGTTAGGAAAAAAGATTCTTATGTCACAATAAATAACTGAAACAAAAGACAACACAGCCTAGCAACCAGACGCTGAACTTACGTTGACCATTTGTATGTCGCTCCTCTCGAAAAACGTTTATATGAATAATTCCTCACCTTAATTCCATTACTCATAAGTAGCAATACTAACGGTATTGATATTAACAATAAATAACACAAAAACACTAAATACATAAATCTCGTAAATTCAAGCTCATAGGAATTGCGTTACATTGCTCATACACTGTATTATGGATTAATTCGAACATTTACCTGACTAGCTTTCGCCGATATTCCAGTAGTGTTGCTATTGTTGCGTCTTGTTTTAATGGAAGTATTGTTTAAGGAATGAACCTGAATAACCCCAATAATCAAATGAATAGGCATGAAAAATTCCACTGAGTTTCTCATCAATCTTTTTATCTGGCCAATCAGGAATACCCAAGTGGTGCCATTGCCCAGCACTTCTACTCTCACGAAAAGCTAAGTACAAGAAATCAAGATCTTAAGTAAAGGTTAGTTTAGTTCGTATCAAACATTCATTGTCCGAAATGGGCATGAGCTTCCTCATCCTCACAAACTTTGCATTAAGTGTAATAATTTTCATGGATAATTTTTACTTTACACAATTCCAGCCCATGTAAAAACATTTGGATCCTAAATACATTTAGAGTTTCAGAAGAATTCATAAACTTCCTAGACTAATGACTTTCCCAACTCAATAATTTTGTCGTTTGTGATTAGTAGGTTATTACATCCTAGTGAGTTTTTCGGGTTACATCAGTCAGTAGATTTTTGAAAATCGTACGTATTACTGACACATGTCCAGTGTATATATGAGAGAAGTAGCTCTTAACTTCTGCACTATTCAACTTCATAATGCCGCCAGACAATCCCATGTACCGCCATTGCACTAATGGCTACTGCTTCTACAGACGCCCCGCATGATTTCCTCATTTATTGGTTCTGCGTACCATATATTTCTTAGAACTGACTATTATTTGATTTTATGTATGAATGTTGTAACTTAATTTCCTTACTTCATTAAGCGTTTCCCTGCCCTTAGGAGTGAAATATGCCTAGTGATTTCTCCTTTGTACCGCCTCCCGAGGCTCCTGTGTTTTACCCAACGCCTGAAGAATTTGAAGACCCACTTGGCTACTTAATGAAAATCCGGCCAATATGTATAAAAACTGGGATATGCAAAATCGTCCCTCCCAAGGTAGGCTTAGATACTTGTGTGGCATTTTAGTCATATTTCATAACCGTAATTATTTTGTTTGTAAACTTATTTTTGACAAAATTTCGTGAATAAGTAGTATAGCTTACAACATTGTGTGTATCGTCCTAATTATAGGTATGCTATTATCCCCCATGAAGTATATATATTTTCTTATCAACACTTACTATCTAATGGATTACTGTTAACTTTTATTTGCAGTGTTGGAATCCTCCGTTCGCTGTCAATATGAAGGAGTTTTCATTCACACCACGAATCCAGCGGTTGTACGAACTAGAAGTAATTTCTATTTCTTTTCACATCAAACCTCAGGCTCATTCTCGTATCAAGTTGAATTTCATCAGTCGTCTCTACAAGTTTGTTCAGCTACAGGTATTTTCATCTTGTAACTAATTTCACCCTACAGGGAGGGGACAAAATTCGAGTACCTAGTATTAGTGGACGCTACTTAGATCTATATGCTCTTCACAAACGCGTCGCAGAAGCTGGTGGATATCGTCAAGCTTGCGACAACCAATTATGGTCTGTTATTGCTGAAAAGTTGGGTTATCAAAGCCGTCATGCGCATTCAATCAAGACAAACTATGAAAAACTGCTACTATCATTCGATCAAGCTGTATCATATCCGTCTCGACCCAACAAGGTAGTTCTGTGTTAATTTTTCTAACAATATTAGACCACCTGTCACCCTAGAAGTCGTTGGAGTGGTTATAAACGTTGCAGAAAATCAACGGAAGTCAGTGTATTTCTAGGGTCTAACTTTTCTGTTTAATAGGAAAATAAGATAGATTACTCCGCCAGTAACGAGTTAAAAAACCTCCAGTTTTTTGGTCCTGGTAGAAAAGCTGTTGTTCCTGAAGACGGACGACCAAGCAGTAGGTTTTAAGAAATATTGAGTTTATCACTTTTTTCTCAATAGATTTCAAACCAGAAGTGAACGTAAGTTTCCAGAACTTTGTTCAGTTTCACTAATGTTTACAGATTGATGAATATAATTGTCGCGTTTGCGGTCACGGAGATGATGAAACCAATCTACTTGTCTGTGATACAGATAGCTGTCAAGCTTGCTATCACTTATATTGTCTTGACCCGCCTCTTCGTTCCATCCCAAAGTGCCAGTGGAAATGCCCTGAATGTATCAGAGCTATCTGTTGTCATCCGGTAGATGTATATGGATTTCCTCAGTCGAGCAAGACTTATTCTCTCCAAGAGTTTGGTGTAATGGCAGATCAATTCAAATCTACTTATTTCAAACGCCCATGCACTGTAAGCATGATGCAGTAGTTGTTTGCCATTTTTCGCTTCATTCTATGGCTTGTAATGCAGTTTCATTTTCATCGCTTCCTATCATTCAATGAATTTTGATAAGGAGCTTAAGTTTTCGCGTTTATCTTCGAATATAATGTATCTTCCTCTTTTTTCTAGTCTTACAAGTTTCCTCTTCGGTGCTTGTGTTACTTGTATTCACTAAGTTCATTCATAGTTCCTTGAATTCATGTCAAGATAGGATTGTTTAACTATAATTGTTGTTGAGTGATATACCAGTGTTCATGCCCGACCGTTGCTGCTACCTTGACGTGGTGGTCGGGCTTGCCTATCGTGATGAAGCAATCGAGCTATGCTGGCTGGAACAATCGTTCCTCGAGGTCCTACCATGCCAGACAGGTCGGTTGAAGAGCGGTGAGACTAAAAGCAGCAAACCCAAGGTCGGAAGGCGAAGTCGTACTGTCGACTGTACAGAGGTGTGAGGGCAGTAAGGTGTTTCCTTCAGACAACCAGCATGACAGCGATGCTGCCTTCCCACAAGGAGGGGTGGGGTTAGAAAAGGTCGACCCTAAAAATGCACACCTCGCCTTATCCCACGGATATCCGTCTCCGGTGGTAAGGTTTTTTTTAAGAACGGAGCTAACACGAAAACTACTCACAAAAAGGTCGTGTGTGACCGACCTCAAGCAGTTGTCCCTTGGGCACTGCGGTCACGCTCTCAGGTCATTAAGACCACTTCTAACCCAATTTCCTTTTCAGGTACCCCCAGAAGAACCCTTCCACGGTGTGGGCAACCGGGAAGTGATAACTGCCCTCATACCTCTAACAGCACTCAAGACTGAGTGTTCATGCCTTAAGATGACATTGGATTCATGTAACCGTAATTCCAGTGTAGTGTATGAGTGAGTTTATAAATCTTCTCAATGTTAGTGGCCTTTTAAGTAATGTTCACTTAGGATTAACTAAAACGAGACATTTTGGTTCACTTTTTTATTATCTTAGTTTTTATACGGCGTCCTTTATGCTTATATATTGACTCAAACCACTGTTCTGGGATGATTTCACAACTGATATAGTTGCTAGACCTTCAGTTACTCTTAATTATTTTATACTTATGAATGTTCGTTTTCACTTGTTCTAGTAAATGAGTATGTCTAAGAGTCTTTTTTCAGACAAAAGCATGCGATCTGTTGATGTACTCCATATTGTTACTGTGCTTTGGAACGTCAAAAGAGTGATAAATACCAAATATCAATGCATCACTGATGAGGTTCGCATTTATTTCCAATTTAAGTGTTCCTTTTTCATCTATGTCCCACCGGAAAGAAGAAGCCAATAGTTTTTTCCTTTTCCTGGAAAAACTACCGTGAACTTTCATATCAAGAAAATTAGCGTATTAAATTTATCACTGTTCATCTCTTGTTCATAATATTGAACTGCTTACTTTTAATCACACAACACTGGATTCTGCTACTGATAATTTTTATTTTATTACCTACTGGACCGACCGGTACCATAAATAACGGTAACCTAAGTATTGGTAGACAAAATGTATTCCTCCCTCACACCTCCAGTATCATAAGAATCACCGCTCATATTTAAATCTCTTCCTCTTACTTTTTTTTTAACTCGTCAACTGTAGTTTAGGAAATAATCAACGAACATTTCCAAACTACTCCGAACATTCCAAACTATACACTATGTCTTATTAATGTATGATTGCGTTAGATTTATATCGTTTCCTAGATATACATTCTGTTTTTGTTCTTTGCTCAGTTACACATAAATAGTGAAGGACTTTGCAGAAATCAGCATTAGTCAAAAATGTTAAACTTGATATTCTCACAGAAAGAGATTAACAGAATGTAAAACCGAAGGAGCGAAAACGATAATGATAATGAAAAATGGTGAACGAGGAATACGAACCATTGTTCATAGGGAACAAATAAAACCAAGGTGTTAAAACTACCAAGTCAATCTAAAAGCTAGGAGGTGAACTGTACATCCACTGCAGCTGTTTTCTGTTCATTTCAGTTGAGGTGTGCATTCATAGATGCTAGTAAAAATAAATTAAGAAGTTAAAGGTATTCATTCATGACTTTTAGTGTACCTTTGATCGCACGTAAAGTTCTAGGTTTCATCATAACTATGGTTTATTTATTTATTTAAACACAAATAATGGTACAAGGAAGCACCAGATAAATATGCGCCTCATAAATCTCATTTAATTTGTGTGAGGGCTGTGATACTGCCCAGGTGCCCAGACTGAAGCAGGTGGTTTTGTTAGGGGGCCACACCTCAAGCCTTTGACCTGAAGGTCTAGTCCACAAGGCAGTGAAACATCGTGAGGAGATGCAGTCCCATGGTAGCCGGTGACCAACAATAGGTTCATACGCCATTCGTTCCTTCAGGATCCTGGAGCCCGTGTGCACCACTGGTTTGGAATCAGGGTTTTCCAACTCCCCTAGGTGAACTTTCCATGTCCACCAACCCGGTTAAAGCGCCGTACATTCGCTTTTCATCCTCTCAATTTCGTAAACAACACCCCTGCCTCGAGAAGGCAG